CCCCATGCGCAATCGCATCAAACGCGTTTACCTCCGTTCACTGAACGCACGTTCACCGCGTTCAAAACCTGAACGCGAAACGCGCTTTCAATGAACGCGCGGTAACATAGCGCCACCAAGCCAATCCAAGTTCGAAAGTCCCAAACCAATTTCTTCCTCCAGCCTTCCAAACAACAGTTCAAACCTGTCCCTTGGGATATTTTTTGCATTCCCAACGATCCCCGGACAACCCTTCCATGCGGACAACCGTAACAGGACGTGCCCATCCTCTCTGGGAAGAGCCATGCCGATGCATGTGCATCTGACAAATCCATTTTCCGCGCAACGGCGGTGATTATGGATGATCTTACACACGTTGGGACTTCTTGTCCAAACAACTCGGGATCTACGTCTAACCATATCCTGGATTTCCCCATCTAAAGGTAGACCCCCGACTAACTTCCTCACTAATCACACTTGATTCTCTCGTCAAATCTCACCTTCACCACCACTCTCCTCCGGATGTTAACGTTATAGCCTAGCCTGATAGCATCGGAAATCATTTTTCTAGCCCGAGTAAGACTTTGCTTCTGCGAAAATAGTTTTGCAACACTATAAAAATGATGCGGCCGAGAATCTTCAAGGGGGGGGAGAGAAGGTAAGAAGAGATTACAGCCTACAATTCAAAGAGTGGATGGATATTGACCCGAGCTGGCCTATGAGGCCAGCTTCCGATTTCTTCGACCCTTTCCCCCCACACCCCTTGTCCCTCGTGGAAACAACTAAGTAGTGATACTGTCTTCATGCAAGGGACACTGGACCCGGTTTCCAGCATGTGCTTTTCTTCTAGTCTCGGGGGTCCGACAGACCATTGCCTTCCGATCCCTGAACCTACATATGGAACGCTGGACCCGGTTTTGGGCAACGGGCGTCACTTTCAAAGAAGCGCTGGTTTGAAGGATGTATCTATGGGACGCTGGGCCCGGTTTCCAGCAGGTGATGCTCCCCACCAAACAAGGATCTTCAGGATTAATGCGGGTTCTTCCACCTTCAGTAGAGGCACAGCAGACCGACATAATAGTAGGATTCTCTTGCATTTTTTGTCCTTTGCTTTGCCATTGTTTGGTGACAACAGACGCCCGAAGGCTAGACGATTGGTTGGCAGCAGCCAGGGACGGGAGGGAGCTTACACTGGTGCCCCCCGGTGCCTCCCCCCCATTACCCGGCCTAGCTGCAGGGGAGGAGAGCTGGATTGACTATTATGGGACGCTGGACCCGGTTTCCAGCATGGGCGTAGCTTCTCATGATGCTCAAGGGACGCTGGACCCAGTTCCCAGCAGGTGACGCTCCCCACCAATAGATGGAGCGGCCCGTCAGGCAAAGCCTCAATCCTGGTGGTTCTCTTACCACCACCGGGATGGAGGTCTTGCGCAAGGGGCCTTTAAAAAAAAAAAAAAAAAAAAAAAAAAAAAAGAAAAAAAAAAAAGAACTGAAGTCTTCATCGGGCATCTTGCGAACATCACAGCCCTCCTTCTATTCTTAAACATTCTCACGATTTCTTTCTTCAACTTCAAACTCCGGGGGGTTGCTTCCACTACATCCCGCAGCACGATCTCCCCTCTGATTTCCAACAGCCTCTTACATTTCCTTAGCGGTCTTGTTCTCCTACCGACTTCCACTCTTGATTCGCCAAACAACCATCGTACTACCCGCCACTTGTCACTCCATATTCTACCGCCATTGCCATACAATTTCACTTTCCTCCCATGACTTGGTTTGATCAGCTTCCTCAACAGATCACATATTCTAACCGTTGCTTCCCCCTCTTCCCTATACTTCCAACTCAGCAACTTCGTCTCTACTTCTCTCACATCTGGTTCCTTATATTGCTCCCCCTCATGTTCTCTCCTCCATTTCTTAGCTCGTTCTTTCCTTCCGGCTCGTCGTCGTTTCTTAGTGTTTTTCTTCTTCCCCCTCGAATTTAATGACGGAGCCCACTCACGTATCAGCGTCCTCTTGACCGCTTCCAATTTCTCCCTTACGTGACTGCTAAAAACCGAGATCGCGACATATTTGTGTGCACCCACTTTCCCCAACCAATTATACAGATTCCTACTCCGCTTTCCCCCTCCTTGTATCGTACAACCCACGTGTTCTCTCCATCTCGCCCACAATTCACGCTCTGTCATCCGCACATACACTTGCTTATACCATGGAGACACCAAGATATATACACAACTCTTTGCGTTGCTCAGATCCAGGCTCCCTCCCTCACACTCATTCCTCCAGTATCCCACAAACTTATTTCCCCATCTTACCTGTTCATGTATAATTAGATCAATCACAGCCGAGCGCATAACAACTTCATCAGCCTCGTTCTTAATTCCCCCCAATCGCCTCTTCTCGGCCAGCTCACAACATACATCCCAAGAATCACTGCACGTCCATCCTCATTTGCTATGTTCATCAGCCCCTTTCCCCTCCCTTTGTTCTGTACACTTCGCACTTCGGGTCACTCGTCCGCTTGATGTCGGAGACGGTGGCAAAGGAATATTAACAGGATCGTAGGCTTTCACGACTCGCCTCGTTACCAATCTCTTGATTGCTAAGTCCCTCTTGCCGTATGCCACCTTTTCCACTTTGCAAGCCTCCTTCAGTTCCTCGATGGTCAGTGCTTCATACAGATCTCTACACTCAGCTTCAAACTTCTCTTTTCCTCCTTGTCCGCATCCTGCTGTAACATGCTTCAAGGACAGTCCAATTTTTCCGACGGGCTCCGGTATCGAGCTTGACGTCGCCTTCCCCTCGGCGCACCGCAGCTCTTCTATTCTCAATTTTGTCACCGTGGATAGCCCCGTCCTCTTTGTTGGAGTCGTCATTGGCGGACTATCACCCACCGACATTTCCTTCCTTTGCTTCCTCTTCTCCTGGATGCTCAAACCTGCAGCCCTTCGTCTTAAGAATAAGAGTTCATCGTCCTCCTCCTCCTTTTCATCCACAGCTTCCTGTAACGCAATTTCGCGGCGGAGTCTCTCCTTTTCTTCCTCAATGGTCTTCCCATACTCATTAACTTTCGCCGATTTCTTCATCTTCCTGTCCCGTTTCATTATCCCACCCTCCTTCCCCACTTCCTTTTTTCCTGTTTCTCGCCATATCTCCATCCTTACCAAGTACAACAACTGATCATCACGTTCCTTCTGCTACTACTTCTTTTCAGCTTCTTTCTCCTGTTTCTTCCTCATCTTCTCTTGTTTAGCCAACTCTGCTTCTCTCTCAGCTTTTTCACGCTCCTCCTTTTCAATCTTTTCCAACCGGGTCCACTCCTTATGTGCAAAATACTCTCTCATCAACCTAATCGTCTCGTCTGTCCCGCTTCCTACTGCGTAGCTGTCCGCCTATAAACTCCTCCTCTCGGAGCTCGGCGCCATCGTCCGCCCGGTCCTAACGGCGCCCAGCGGTGGAGGTACGAAAGGTTTGTTGCTCTCTTTCGCCTCCCAATATTCTTTACAAACATTCGCGAAGTGGTCCGGATCGCCACACTTGTAACAGGTCCTTCCCGTCATTGGATTTCATTGATATGGCTGGGCCGGTCCCCCACTCCCAGAACCACTCCCCCCCCTTATCCCGCTGGCCCCTCCGGACCTCCCGGAGCCGCTTGCGCTACTCATCCTGTCACTTCTTCGTCCCTTCCCTTATCGTCTTTTTCCTCTCGCTCCCCAGGAGCCGGTCACGTTATCACCTTCATCTTCAGCTGCCACCCTCTCTAGGTACAATCTCCTAGCAGGTTACAACCGTGGTTGCGAGAAGCAATTATTGACTCACACAAGCATGAAATCACACGAGCATGAATCCAGCACACGACACCGATTACACACAACCGATGTCTGAAAATTACCGAAAGAGTTAGAATGAAAATAGTCACCCGTATCCAAAAAGCTTGTAACAACAAAACCTGAAGCCCACAAACTTGCGCGAATCATTGTTCACGTCGACTCACAACGCACTTTTGCAGATACTGCTAGCGCAGATACTGCTCGGTGCGAAAGGAGTAAATCCGACAGTCAGCCAGATCTTATACTTGGTCAAACTTGTTCCTGAACCTTCGCCTAGGACTGATGACCGAGGTCGAGGTTTCGTACCTTAGTCTTCTACACTATCCTACCGGACTTCTATGCTCACACACACCTACAGACCTGATTTTCTTCCAACCACGTGCCTTCACCTGCCTTCACTGGGCACTACATCCCACCAGAGCAGTCATGGGCTCAAGCCCTCGTCCACTCAGTAGTCCATCTCGCCTGTGTGGCTAGTCGACGGGCTGCTCACTGTGTGGAAACCGAGATAGGATATGGTTAGCCTTTATTACAGGATGGTTGGTAGTTTTTCTTTTGTGCCTTGGGCATGACATTGTTGGTTCTCCTCCTTTCTTTCCTTCTTTGCAACTTGAGCCGGAGTAGTGCAGGCAGCTGGACCGCTGTGGTCGGGGGTGGGATTGGCTTGAAGTGCCTTTCTCAGCCTTGAATGGGTGCGACATTCATGTGAGGGACGCAGGGCCCGTTTCCCTGCTTTGATTGAAATTGGGCTTGTTTAAAAAAGGAAAACAAACCAATATGACCACATGACGGGGTTCCATCATACAGACTGATCCAGATTCCAGAGCCCTCTGCTCTACGATCGCGGCGGATGTTAAAAAAAAAAAAAAAAAAAAAGGAGTGGGGCTTGTTTAAGAAAGAAAACCAAACCAAWATGACCACATGACGGGGTTCCATCATACAGACTGATCCAGATTCCAGAGCCCTCTGCTCCGCGATCGCGGCGGATGTTAAAAAAAAAAACAAAGGAAAAAGGAGTGGGGCTTGTTTAAAAAAGAAAACCAAACCAAAATGACCACATGACGGGGTTCCATCATACAGACTGATCCAGATTCCAGAGCCCTCTGCTCCACCATCGCGGCGGATGTAAGGAAAAAAAAAAAAAAAAAAAAAAAAAGGGGTGAGTGTTCTGGAGCACGGAATTTTTGAATTGTTATAAAAAAACGAGAATTTTTCTTTTTTTGAATTGAATTGAAAAAGTTGTTAGTCCACACCTGACAGGCTGACACCAAAAATTTAGGAGCCCCAAAAATGAAAAAAATAAATAAATAAATTGCTTCTGTTACTTGTCTGTACCCTACGCTCTACCCAGTTGCAGTGTCACGTTGCACCTATGGCCGGAAATGCCCCGAAACGGCCAGGTGGACGCAGGCTGGTACCGCCAAATTGGAATTATAAGCAACTACGGGAATGCACAAGTTGGTCCATCTGCATGCTGCATGGATTTGGCCACGTCTGCTACTGCACTACTGCATGGACTTGGCCATGTCTGCTACTGCACTATATCCTAACCCCTGAGCCTAAACTGGGTACACAGCCCAGATTTTCCGGGTTGTTTGTGGAGGGCCCTGGGGCCAGGTCCCACTCCCAGGGCGAGGGGTGGCATCATGTGACACCATTTTGAAGCTTTTGTGAGGAAATCTGAAAACATTGTTACAGTAGAAGTGTCCTGCAATGATGACAATCTGCCAGGAGATTCGGGAGTGCCCTTTGGTTGGGCTTTGCTCCACCTCACCAAATGTGGAAAATGAGAATGTATTTTCACTCTGTACATGGGAAAATACATCGCCATAGTTTTTGCCTTTCGTGTACCTGGTGAGAATAGCCAAAGGCTGTGGAGTGGACGTCCACACAGAAAGCATGTGCGTGTGTGTAGACACACACACACACACACACACACACA